CACGTGATAGACACGCTCGTTCTCAAACCTGCAGCCGTTTGACATTTACCTCGACGGTGTAATGTGACAGGGCTGCTGTGTAACTGCCGCTGCTTACACAGCAGAGGTGGGCAGATCGATAACATCGATACCTGCACCTTATTAGTTCTGGATCGATACTAGACTTATACTATCGATATTTATTTCAGTCCTTTAACATCAACATGTAGCCCACTGAACTGTGTTACAAAGATGTTCATTAATTTATTTGGAAATCAATAAAATGTACCTCAAATATCAATGTGTTTTATTGTTTAAAATAATTATTGTTGAAAGTAAAAATCACAGTGATTTAGAGCTCATTAAAATGTGTTCAGAATATTTGCAAATAAATGATGATTCATCGCATAATGATATCGGTCATACTGTCCTGTACTGCTTCCAGCTCTGAAATATTCCAGCGCAATACACGTGGAGGTTGGATGCTGTAGTCTGCATCCAGCTGTGAGTTTGTGCCTTGTGTGTTTCAGCCTATCACAAAACAAAACTACAAAACTTTGAACAAAATACAGGAAATGAAGCCAACGGCTTCCTTTATCATTTTCACGCTTCCACGGTGGCTAGTTTAAAGGCTGATGTGAGTGATGGTTTAGACCTGACCACTTTCTTGTCATCCAAAAAATAGATAAATGATTCATTATTTCCCCACAGGAGTTCAACTCGTTTTGCAGAGAAGGTTTCGCATCACTGAGACCTTGGATGGTAATTCACATAGAATACCACTTGCAGTGATCTGGTCAGGTCTTTTAGAAGCAAGCCAATAAAGTATTATATCTTGCATGAGACACTAAAAGGACTGAAAAAAAGACTGCATAAAGAGTATCTAAAGAACAAAGCAAGGAGTTGAACAGAGTGTCTACACAGTAAAAATAGTATGCCCAATTTTAATGTAATTAAAGTGCTCGGTTTAATTAAAGAATGTGTCATATGCAGGTTGCACTCGGGTTAAAGAGGGCTATGCTCATTATTGCTTTATTCATAATTAATCAGGTAGGTTCCACTGAGCTCGAAAAGAGAGACTCTGCCATGGTGAAAGCCATAAAACAATAATAGAGATCCAATTAAAAAAGCAGCGTCTTACTAAAAATTTTAATTGCTCTTTACAGCCGTTACGAGTCACCGGCTCTCTCTCTCACTCAGGGGATTAAAGTTTTTCTTCACGGAGGCAGAGATCATGGTGATTTTGCGAGTCTTTGTGAGCATCCTCTCCGTGATTGGCTGGAGCGCCACACATGCCTGCCATGAAAATCTCAGTCCTGGCAACACCGCCCTCATCTGCATCCGCTCCCGTCGACTGTGCTGTTTGAAAAAGCAGAGGGTCCACGACGTTCACATGGGTTAGGATACAACACCACACTGAGGTGATCATTGGGGGTTTAAACGCCACTGATCTGATATAGGTGGGGGTGTGGAGGCTGTGATTATCTGCTGGTTTACATACATCATGTTTGTGCTTGAAAATTAGCTGAATCTGAGCAAAAGGGAAAGATTAAAAAAAGGAAAGGGACACACACATTTACACAAATGCTCCCACTCACCTGCTCCGGCTCTGGGGCCCGCTCAGTACTAATGACAGCGTGATTGGATTATCCAGGCTTTTAGCAATACCACGGCTGGAGCTAAGAGGGAGAGATGCTAACCCACAAAAGGTCAGGCTGGGGTCAACAAGAGGCCAGCCGGGTTGTGACCTGTTGCGTTAGGACAAGGCTTTCAGCAGGAAGGCAGCAGAGGGAGGGAATAAAACATTTAAGAGACAAATAGTAAGAAGGAAATGGTTTTTTGGGTTGCTTTTTTTTAGCAGAACAATGACAGATTCGATTTCTGGGA